ATTATTGACAAAAATTATGTAAAAAATTTGCTTTTGTCATACATCTAAGTTTTGGAAAAAAGTTGTTGCATTATTTCATAAATATATGTGTGACTTATGGCTTAGGTTTTTTTTAGATGACAAAAAAACTTAACACTATATAAAGTTAGGAAAAAAATTATATTGGTGCCTTTTTTAAAAAGTACCACAAAAATAGTGCATTTTATAAATGTATTAACTGGGGGAAAAAATAATTCAACATATTTTCCATTTATATATCAATAGAAAAGAATTTAATTGATAAAAATGCATTTTTGTCATTTTCCATGTTTTTTTTTTTTGTTGCTGGGTGCTTTGACAAACAAAAAGGGAAGATTTTTTTGTGCAAAAAAATACACACATATTAACACAAACAAAAAAACCCTAAAAACTTCATTATTTGTTTAATTTTTTGTTGTCTTCCAAAAAATAAAAAAAAATTGTCTAGTTTACATGTCATTTGACCAAAAAATATGCAAATATCAGGTGCCAATTTTCTGTATTATATTTTCAGTTATGTTTCAGGTTTGTTGTTGTTTTTTCTCTGTTTTTTTTTTTTTTTTTTGGTTTATAATATTTTGTGCTTTTGGTAAATAAAAAAATCATATGTAATAAACACAAATGTAAACCGAAAATAAATGTTAATGGAAATTAATTGAATTTGAAGAATATAACTCATCAATGGTCATTTCCATAATTGTGACATAAAATCATAACTAAAACGCGAAAATGATAATTAAATCACAAAGAGATTTGCCAACATGTTTTTTTCTTTATGAACCAATAATAAAATTTCATTGGTAATTTAGTGATAACCAAAATTGAACTAAAAATGTGACTAAATAAATATTTGGAGTAAATCATCAACGGAAATTGATAATAACCATGACAGATTTGAAATATTATTTTTGAAATTAAATTACGGAAATTATGAGCAATAGAAATTGTAATAAAAAAAAACAATAGAAGCTATCGGAACCGTGCAAAAGATTTAAATTTTTATGAATGTTTGGCTAAATTAAGATTAATGATTAAATTACTTCAAAATGAAATGGAGAGATCGGGAGTAGTCGTTGTGCATTAGGTTGGCAACCCGTGAAATTTGAATGACATGAGGCGCCATCTCTATGTAAAATTTGGGGGTAAACGATTTGCCACCTATATGCTATCACATAATCATTATATTTGAGTTAAATACAGTAAATAATGCTCTGCTGTTAAAATGGCGCCCAAATGTTTATATGTTCTAAATTCATTAAAATTTCAGATTTTATGATCATGATCGGAATATTTAAGTCCGAACTGCGTCTGGCCTAAACTTTATATTGTTGAATGGGGTTTCCCCCATTTGGCTAACATTTATTTTGTGACAACTTAGCAAAAATAATCTATCCGTCCATGGAAAAGTTGGAGGACAAATAAATAAAACAAAATCTAGTAGCGCCATCTGCATGCGATATGCGTGTATGAGTCTCAAATTTTCTAATATTAGTTACGCTTAAGATTTTGCTTTGATGAAGGTGCAAATATTACTCGTCAGATTTATTTTATATTGTTTCGAAGGGAAAGAAAATTTTCGTCTAGCAAAATAATCTTTCCATCATGGAAATGTTGAACGCTCAATAAATAAATGAATCGTCTAGTAGCGCCATCTACTTATTTACCACTTGAAACTATCCGTCTGAAAGTGCTGCCGTGAAAATTGAATGCCATTGGACGCAATCTATACGTAATGTTTAGGAGTATGCGATTTTTCACTTAGCTCATCATAATGGCGCCCAAATAAACATATGTTCCAAATTAATTAAAATTTAAGACTTGGTTAGATAATGGTGGAAATATGAAATCCTAAACTTTACATTGTTAAAAAGGGGAAGCAAATTTGGCAGAATTTTATTTTAGACAATAAATTTATATCCATTAATAAATTATTATTAATAAATTTACTATCCATTAATAGGAATATTAAAGTACCAATAAATAAATTAATAATCTACTTGCGCCATCTGCATGTGGTTGTTATACACACAATGGAAATATAAGGCTATCACATGAGGGTGCTGTCATATAATACGAAATGTGGTAATAACAAGGTAAAGGAGATGTTTAAATGGCGTTCATCCATGGTTAACACTTCCACTTCAATAAAGCAACCAATTCTCTAGTGGCGCCATCTATATATGGTTTTGCCATTATTACTATTAAAGTGTTGCATTATAATAATTTACTTGGTGGTGGTATAACCCCAATAAATAAATTATAAATATGAGAAAAAATGGCGCCCAATTTGAAAAAAAGTACAAATATTTACATTTCAAATTTTTATTTGATAGCGGCGAGAATACAAACTTCAATCTGATAATAATTAATCTGACATTTTTTTATTTTTTTACGAGGAAATGAACTTCTATAGCGCAATTTACCATGTGGTAAACTTTCTTCACAAATACTCGATTTTTTTGTTTTTGAGAGACTAGAATATTTAAATTTGATACCTTTATAAGGCTTTTTTAAACAAAGCGCCATCTATAAGTGACTGTATAGCATACTATACAACTGAGACAAATTTTTTGCGGTCTTTTCTGCGGTCTCTCTATTTCTCGCTCTAAATGCATTCTCTCTTAAATTCTCTTACTTAAATAAAAAAAAACACACAGAGGCGCCATCTATATGTGGTTGCTTTACAATTGTCTCACATTCATCCCTCTAGAGTTGGCTTTGAATCCCAGGCAACAACGTTTTATCAACGACATAAAATTCGATTTTTCAAAATTTTAGTAGATCGAAACTAGTGTACAGTCCCACGATAACTTCAGTACTGAGGAAATTATAAGTACTGTACCAAAAAACGAAAGAAATTTAATAATAATAATAAAAAAATAATTTAAAATGTAATAAAAAAAATTAAATTAAAAAATAATAATTTCTTTGGGTTTGTTTTGAGGAGTATAAGTATTTTTTTGGTATACTGTTGACTTCAAAAATATAGTTGTCAACATTTTTTTTATTATTTTCTGTTACACAGAGGACCTGTATTATTGTTTTTTTTTTCTTGATTATGTATAGAAAAATAAGAATAGAACAAGAAAATCATATTTGATATTCCAAAAATATTATTTTTTTTTTGTATATCCAAAAATATTTTTATAAATGCTGCTGCTTGGCGGTTTCGATTTCATGTTTCAGAAACGATAGGCAAAATTCAAAAAATTTGATTATTATATAATATTCTTTTCTTTTTTTTTGGTTAGGTAAGGTAGGAAATAATAATTGTATTGAAAACACAAACAAAAAATATGGTATTGCATATAATAGAATTAAACGAAAAAAAAAAAAAAATATTTTTTTAAAAAAAAGTAATATAAAAATAAATAAACAAAAAAAAATATGTTTTTAAATTAAAAAAATCTTATTTTACAAATAATGAATTTTTGAAATACAAATTATACGATTTTATTAAATAATAATAATAAGAAATATATTGAAAAATAATATTCTCATTTCAATTTTAAAATAATTATTTTTAAAAAACATTTCGCGAGGAAACATAGATTTTTTATTTCTTGTCTAATTTTAAGGCATTTTTTCTATGTATTTAAAATTTAAAAACAAAAGGGATTTATTTTTTTTTAATTTTTATAATTATTATTATTATTATTATTATCGTTATTTTTATTATTATTATTATTATTATTATTATTATTATTATTATCGTTATTTTTATTATTATTATTATTATTATTATTATTATTATTATTATTATTATAATTATTATTATTATTATTATTATTATTATTATTATTATTATTATTATTATTATTATTATTATTATTATTATTATTATTATTATTATTATTATTATTATTATTTTATTATTATTATTATTATTATTATTATTATTATTATTATTATTATTATTATTATTATTATTATTATTATCGTTATTTTATTATTATTATTATTATTATTATTATTATTATTATTATTATTATTATATTATTATTATTATTATTATTATTATTATTATTATTATTATATTATTATTATTATTATTATTATTATTATTATTATTATTATTATTATTATTATTATTATTATTATTATTATTATTATTATTATTATTATTATTATTATTATTATTATTATTATTATTATTATTATTATTATTATTATTATTATTATTATTATTATTATTATTATCGTTATTTTTATTATTATTATTATTATTATTATTATTATTATTATTATTTTTATTATTATTGCTATTTTTATATTATTATTATTATTATTATTATTTTTACTATTATTATTATTTTTTATTATAATTATTATTATTATAATTATAATAATTATTATTATTATATTATATTATTATTATTATTATTTTTATTATTATTACCAAATACAGTACACATCGTGAATTTGTACAGTACAACCCATGAAATTCTATAATTATATTTTATGAATTATCTTTCGTTTTACAGATTTTGGAATGGCTCACTGTTTGTACAGTACACAAGATTGGTAAGTAAAATGATCAATTATTTTCGATTTGTTTGTACACTGTTTCTGTATTTTTTTATATCCACGTCTTAGAAAAAAAATATCTTAAAACATGGACGTCTCTGAAAAATTATTTTTAATAAATTCACGTGCTCCGTGGTCCTTGGAAAAATATTTTTAAAAAATTCACGTCTTCCGTGGTCTTTGGAAGAATATTTTTAAAAAATCCACGTCTTCCGTGGTCCTTGGAAAATTTTTTTAAAATAAAAATCCACATCTTTCGTGGAACTTGGAAAAATCTTTTTTTAAAAATCCACATTTTTCGTGGTCCTTAGAAAAATATTTTTAAAAAATGCAAAAAATCTATGTTTCCTCTTATCAAACAAAAATCAAAGAAAATTTTTGGGAATTCAACAAAAAAAAAAAAAAAATTGAAATAAATATTTTTCATTTTTTTATACATTAAAAATTATACATACCATCTTCGTGGGTTCGCACAATGATCGGATGTGAACGCGGTCCATCGCCAACCGATGTACCGGCCAACACCCAAATCTTATATTCGGTCCAACGTTTCAACTCATCCAATAGTATGCTGGTGTCGTTCAGGGTCGTTATGGTCGCCTCATTGTCGGTGCGACCGACTTCCACATAGAATACCTTGTAATATATTATGCGGCCATTTGAACGTTCCTCGGGCGGTGGCAACCAATTGACGGCGATGGTGGTGGGGCTAGTGGCTTTGGCAGTGATATTGCGTGGTGGGGCACCTGGTACTACAGACAACAAAATTGGAACGGGAATTGCAGTGTGTATGATGATAACATTTTTTTGTTTGTTTTTGTTGTTGTTGGTGTGGTTGTTTTTTGGGTTGAGGGGGATGGATGGATTTACGTTTTGTTGTTGTTACATTACGTTAATTGAATGGAAATTTGATTTTTGATTTGGAGAAAAAGACCAGTTTTTCCCCAAACAAAAACAAATTATTGATGTGGTGGTGAAATGATGAAGGTTTTGTTTTATTTATTTAATTAGCCACATTTAAATGTATGTAAAACAAATTTATTATTGTTGTAGTTGTAAATTTTAATAGCGTTTTCATCAATGAAAAAAAAAAAATTAACAGCATCACCAAAAAATATTTTTTTTGTTGTTGTAGTTTGTTATAGCAAATATTATGTCCATGAAAATCATAAAATTTCGAAGTAGGGGTGGTAAATTTACAACCAAAAGCGATATGAAAAGAAACGAAAAAAATGAAAACGGAAAAAACACATATGAAATAAAAAAGTCAATAAAACATGAAATCGGCAAATAAATAGCAAAAAACTAAAATTAAAAAAAATATAACAATTTATATTACCAATGGTTTATGCAAAAAATGTCAAGTTATAAATTCATATTAATTTATTGTTATTGTTATGTTTTTTTTTTCTTCTTTCGGTTACACATTCCATTAAAGACCAATCAATATCCGTACGATTTTCTTCTTCATCTTCTTCATGTAGTCGAAGTCTCAATGAATTTTGTATGCATATTTTATTGGTTATTTTTTTGTTTTTGTTTTTTTTTCGTTCTATAAGATTTACTTAAAAATTGGTAAGGAAAGAATTATTTATTTTATCTGATATATAATAATATATAAATTGCGGATACAAAACGGTGGAGAAATATTTAAAATGTTTCAAGAAATTTTTAGAACATATTTACAACATGCATCTTAAACACGTCTATATAAGCATTATTTTTTTACTTTAAATTTTAAATTAAAAATAAAAAAAGATTTTTTTAAAATTTGCAGAATCAAACATTAAAAAAAAATAAATAAATAAATAAACAATAATAATAAATATATATAAGCATATATAAGCATTGCAAATTAACTTTTTTAACTTTTTTTAAAAATAAAAAAATATATTTTTTTTCAAAATTTGCAGAATCAAATATCAAAAAAAAAAAAAAAAACGGAAAAAAATTGGAAAAATCAGAAAATTCATAAACAATTATAGTCCTGTTAAAAAGCCATATAAAATATAACCTTGGAAGCTTTTCCTTAAAACATTACGGTTTAATGCACCTTTAGAAAGGGTTTTTATTTACGTAACCATGTCCTTAAGATCCGTCCATCCTTAAGTTCTTGTATTTTTTTTTTTTTTTTGCGGGAAACAAAAATATATTTTTTAAAAAAAGCCTAACAGTTTTTGGAAAATATTATAAACAAGGAAAATATTATAAACGATTCGTAGTCGATGAAAGAAAAAATAAAAACAATCGAGATCCGAACAGAAATAGGTATTTTTAAAATATTTATGATATCAAAATCTTCCAAAAACAAAAAAAGGAAATAAATAAATAAATGAAATAAATATATAAAAATAAAAAAATAAGTATTAAATGGAAGTGATACGTTTTACAAATTCACAAAATGTCCCCATAGAACATATAAAAAAAAACTCACGACCTTACGAGTAGTTACTATTTATAAAAAATCTTAATAGTCATAAGAAATTATATTTTGAAAAATTAAAAAAAATTAACTGGGAATATTCACTGGAAAAATTTTTAGAGACATCAAAGTCAAAGAAGACATTGAAAAAATTATTTAAAAAAACCACGTCCAAATAGTCCTAGGAAAAACTTATTTCAAATATCAATGGTCATATTTACCTTTGGAAAATTTTTTATTACAAAAATCCTTATCATAAAACTCCTTGTAAAAATATTTTAGAAAAATAAATAAGTACCGAAAATAGTCGCCCTAGGATTTTTTTATGCAAAATAGTCCTTGAAAAACATGTTTGCCTTAATAGCCCTTGAAAAAAAAATAATTGAAGAAAATACACGACATAAAAGCCATTAGAAAATAGTTTAGAAAAACAAAAATACCAAAAAAAAATGGGTTAAAGTACCTCTAGGAAAAAATGCATGAAAAATATTTTCGAAAAAATATTTTTGCAAAGACTCACGACATAAAAGTACTTGAAAATAATGTTGGTAAAATCCAATTAAAAAAAAAAAATCTGGCAAAAAATAACTTTGGAAAAAATATGTAAGTTTTTTTAAAAATTTTCGTCTTAGTAGTACTCAAAAAAAAAAAAAAAAAAAAAAAACAAATAAAAAGACATTAAAGTCGACCGAGCCGAACTTTTAACACCCTCCACCATTGGGTAAAGAAAATATTTTTAAATAAAAGTATCTGAATCCAAACATGTTCCACTTTAAACTACAATTACCAGTAAAATGGTTATATGGGGAAAATTTTATACTTCAAGGATTGGATTTTATACTTCAAGCACCAAATCTTCTTAAATACCAAATTTAGAACGATTCCGTTGGAAAATGTGGCTAGGATTAATAAAATACCAGAATATCGGTGGGTATCGTTATATGTGCGCTATAGGTAAACGTGGACCTAAATATTCAATGATCTGCCACCAATGATCAGAACCAATTACGAACTACAAATACCAATTTTTAGACAAATCCGTGGAAAAATGAGGCAAAAATCATCAAAATACCGAATATCGGGAGGTACAGTTATATGGGGGCTATACCAAAACGTGGACTGATATATACCATTTTCAGTAACAACAATCTTAGTTACAATACATATTGTTCTCTTTTTGTTTTCGAATATGCAATCATAGTACTTCTTCCATATGGTAATAGATCTTGGAAAAAATATTTAAGGAAAAGAAAAGTTGTAATAATCCACACCATAAACCCTCTGCAAAATAATTTTAGAAAAATTCCCGTCATAATAGTCTTTGAAAATTAGTTAAGAAAAAAATTACATTATAAAAGTCCTTGGAAAAAAATAGTTGTAAAGTAAAATTGGTTTTGCCACGAACACATTGGGCTTTGAAAACAATATTCTTCATTATATCCGGCTAATAAGTTATTTGAAAAGAATTTTGAAAAATCCTCCGAAGAGTAATCCAAGCGTATATTACAAAATCGAACAATAGTCTCTATATTAATTAGAAATCCAATATAAATGGCTCGTGGAAAAATATAAAAAATGGCAAAAAAAAATCTTAAAATCGAAAACTCGTAAAATTTTTTGATTATTGACGGACTCATTGTGTTTTGAAAAAAGATTTTTAATAACGTATAGCTATAAAGTCCTTGGTAATATTTTTAATTAGAACAATAATTTTTAAAGTCTGGAAAAATGAAAGCAAAGTTGAATATTTTATATTTTAAATACACAATTTTTTATGTATGAAATTAAATAATAATAATAAAATTGAAAAAAAATTATACGCATATTTACTTATTTTTTTAAATATATATATAATAATATATAATATATATTGGTTATTATGGAATGCATCGTGCATATAAAGGAAATATTTTTTTTTATAAAATTGTGTTCGATATTTTTAAATATTTTTAGATTAAAAATCATATTGAGGAGGTCGGGTGGAATAAACATGTATAACATTTATAGGGTTGCACTTTTTTTGCATAAACCATTTTGTGTTTTTTCTTTACATAATCTTAAAAAAGAAGGGAATAAAATTTAAGAAATATATTTTTCGTTTTTAAATTAAAAAAAATTATTTTAAAATAATAAAAAAAATTATACAAGGATGGCAGGCTGACAATCAAGCATATATATATATATATATATATAAAGGCTTAATTAATATTATATTAGTATAATGGGAAAAAAATATAATATAGAATATATTTATAAAATATTGACAAGTGTTTTTAATAAATTTTAAAATGTAATTACTTAAAAAAAGTTGTGTAAAAAAATATCATAATAATATTAGAATTATTTTCTTATTTAAAAAAATATTAAAAATTTCCAAAAATATAATTTTATAGTTCGAAGCAAAGCATGCTAAGAATATCCACAGAAAACTAAAAATTAGTTGGGTTTTCTCACTTTAAATCAGTCACATACAATTTTTCAATACTTTAAACTGAAAAAACATTATGGAAAAAAAAATTCCCTTGAAATGTGCGCATAAATTTAAATAAAAATATTTAAAGGTATTTTTTAAAGCCAGACATAAAGCCCTTAACATTTTCAGAAACTTTAAATTCGAAATAATTATCCTAATTGCATGTGTGGTGCATACTTTAGGGCGTTATAAAAAAAAACAATTTAGTTGGCAGAAAACATTTGATGTATAAAAATATGAAAAAATCATATCAACAAATTAGTCATATAATGTTTGCAAAATTTTGCAAATCAAAAAATAATTTTTTATTACAAGAATGATGCATACTTTTAGGCTTCACATGAAATTGTGACAGTTCATACCTGTTCAATATTTTTCTTGATCTTAGAAAACCACTTAGAAGTCAATTAAAAAAAAAATAAATAAATAATACACACATGACAATATCGGAATCTTCAGAATAATTCTTTAATTGTATGCATGCTGCATACTTTTTGGCGTATAATGACCATTTAGGGGGGAAGAGAGTTAAAATCACTCTCAGGAAACCTCTTTGGAATGTTCGCCTCATAAATACAATCGACAAAAGCTGTTAAGAAAAATCCCAATTTCGGAATTGAATCAAGAAAACCATTTCATATGTTTGTATGGTGCATATTTCCTGCCCTATAAAAAAAGCTTTTTCCTGTCTCAAGAATTCTAAATAAGCGTTTTTTAAATCTTTAAAAAAAATTGAGCAGCACAATTTTAAGGAATTCTGTGTAAGGGGCATATTTTCTATGTATAGTGCATATTTTTAGGGGTTATAAAATATACATTTCTGATTGACGCTTTTTCCTGACACATGAAATCTAATTAAGCGTTTTTTTTAACCTTAAAACGAATGTCCAGCACAATTTTAAGGAATTTTCCCCACACTTTTGTACTGCTGTATATCATCGCATTTTTTTTTAAATATTAAAAAACACATGACACTTTTTTAATTAAGCCGTCTGCAGTAATTGAAAAACAATAACATTACATTTAAAATAATAACAATATGTGGGCCAAAATGAAAAATAACAACGATGACTAGGAGGACTACAAAGGGCATATAAAGGTCATGATAAATTGTAAAATAATATTATTTTTTTGTTGTTTTCATTTAACAAAAAAAAAACAATAAAAAAGCAAGTAAACATAAAAAACGATGAGCGAAATTTTTATTAATATTAATTGAATTGACTATTAAAAAAACACACACACATACTTAAACCTACGCACGCACACATTCATATGCAGGCAAGCTGATGAATGAAATGTCGGTTAAAGAAACAACAAGTGCAATTGTGCAAAAATGAAAATTATTTATGAAACGCTGATGAGTGATTGAGTGAATGGTGGTTAAACACCAAATATGAAAACAAAAACAAAATTATAACGTTGGAACACTTTAACAATAATAAATAACATTGCATTAATTAATTAAAATTAATTTCACAAAAAAAAAAAAAAAAAAAAAAAAACAAGACTTAACACAAGGACTTTTCAATCGAAATGAAAACACATTCAGAAATGGAAAATTTATAAAAGAAATACCTTTGGGAAAATTAAAAAAAAATTGTTATTTAACAATAAGTAATTAATTTCTTTTCCTATCACTAGATGGTGTTGGGTGGTTGTGGTGGTGCATTTTTTCTTTATTTTCTGTTTTCAGGTGACAAAAATCATGTCCATGAAAATTTTCAAAAAGAAAACACAAACGACTAAAAGGTGCCATATTTCATATAAAAATAATCCTATTAATTTACATTGCTGTTGATTTTTAATAAATTATTTTTTTTTTTGCAATATATTATGTGCAATATGTGTGTAGTGGTGGTGGTAGTGCTAGGTGTCGACGACGAATTGGTGCGTTAAGTGAATTCAAGTGAAAGATAATTAATATTTAATAAAATTGCGTTAAAAAACAGTAATATTAAAATTAATAACAGAAAAAAAAAACGATGTGACACATGTTGGGTGGCACAATGCAAAAACATGCGGGGGTGGTGCTATTTTTAGGAAAAAACTTTTTTTTCTTATTTTATTTTTTTTTTTGGGGGGGTTTGTGCAAATTTTTTTGTGCATGGAAGTCGAAGATTCGTTACATTTCATAATTGGATATTTCTTATCGTTCCGATATTTCAGAACTTTCAACGATAACTGGACGGGTATCAGTTTCAAATAAAAAAAATTAAATTATACAGAAAAAGGGAGAGAAAAATAATTCGTGTTGATTTCTTGTTGTTGTTGTTGGAGTAGAGGTTACTGTGATGTTTCTAGTGTTAAAAAGTTTTTTTTTACAAAATTAAGGATAGAAATTGCCTTTTTGTTATATTTAATATTTAATTATGTTTAATTTCATGGTTAATTTCTCGAGTTTTCAATTTTTTTCTATGAAAATCAAAAAAAAAAAAAAAAAAAAAAATCGATAACATTTTCTATGAAAATCGAGTTAATTTCTATGAAAATCTTTATCGAACATGGAGAAAATTTTCTATGAAAATCTAAAAAATTGTCAACAAAAATCGAGACAATTTTTTATGGAAATCAGAAAAAAATCGAGAAAATTTTCTATGAAAATCGAGAACATTTTCTATGAAAATCAAGAAAATGTTCTTAGAATATCGAGAAAATGTTCTATGAAAATAGAGATAGAAAATTGTCTATGAAAATCGAAAGAAGTTCATCGAATTTTGAAAATCTAAAAAAAATGAGAAAGTTTTCTATGAAAATCGAGAACTTTTCTATGAAAATATTTATCGAAAATCGAGAAAATTTTTTGTGAAAATCGAAGACATTTTCTATGAAGATCGAGAAAATTTTATATGAAAATCGAGAAAAATTTCTATGAAAATTTTTATCGAAATAAGGGAAATTTTCTATAAAAAAAGTCTACGAATATCAAAGAAATGTTTATCGATAATTTTCTATGAAAATTTTTATCGAAAATCGAGATAATTTTTTTATGAAAATCTTTATCGAAAAAACGTTTACAGAAAATCGAGAAAAAGTTTCTATGAAAATCGGGAAATTTTCTATGAAAATCAAAAAAATGTTCATCGAAATCGAGAAAATTTTCTATGAAAATTTTTATCGAAAATCGAAAAGATTTTTTATGAAAACCTTTATCAAAAATCGATTTTTTCTATGAAAATCATGATAATTTTCTATGAAAATTTTTATCGAAAATCGAAATAATTTTCTCTGAAAATCTTTATCGAAAATCGAGAAAAAATTTTCTAAGAAAATCTTTAAATCGAGAAAAAATTTTCTGTGAAAATCTTTATCGAAAATCGAGAAAAAAATTTCTATGAAAATCTTTATCGAAAATCGAGAAAAAATTTTCTAAGAAAATCTTTATCGAAAATCGAGAAAAAATTTTCTAAGAAAATCTTTATCGAAAATCGAGAAAAAATTTTCTAAGAAAATCTTTATCGAAAATCGAGAAAAAATTTTCTAAGAAAATCTTTATCGAAAATCGAGAAAAAATTTTCTATGAAAACCGATTATCGAAAAAATATTCTATCAGAATCGAAAAAAAAAATGAAAATAGGTTATCGAAAATCGAGAAAAAATGCTAAGAAAATCTTTATCGAAAATCGAGAAAAAAGTTTATCGTTAAAATTTCATATAGAAAATCTTTTATCGATAAAATTTCATATGGGAAATTTATCGTTTATCGATAAAGTTTCGTATAGAAAATGTATCGTTTATCTAGAAAGTTTCGTATAGAAAATGTACAGTTTATTGATATTTCGATAAATTTTCTCTATAGAAAATTTTTGCGGAATTTCGATAAAATTTCTCTATAGAAAATTTTTGCGGAATTTCGATAAAATTTCTCTATAGAAAATTTTTGCGGAATTTCAATAAAATTTCTCTATACAAAACTTTTGCGGAATTCCGACAAAAATTTCTCTATAGAAAATTTTCGCGGAATTTCGACAAAAATTTCTCTATAGAAAATTTTTTGGAATTCGATGAAGAAAACTTTTCGTACTTCGATAAAATTTCTATATAGAAAATTTAATATCAATAAAATTTCTTATAGAAAATTTATCGTTTACCGATTAAATTTCGCATAGAAAATGTATCGTTTATCGATAAAATTTCGTGTAGAAAATTTATCGTTTATCGATAAAATTTCGTATAGAAAATTTATCGTTTATCGATAAAATTTCGTTGAGAAAATTTATCGTCTATCGATAAAATTTCGTATAGAAAATTTATCGTTTATTGATGAAATTTCGTATAGAAAATTTATCGTTTATCGATAAAATTTCGTATAGAAAATTTATCGTCTATCGATAAAATTTCGTATAGAAATGTATCGGTTATCGATAAACTTTCTATCTTACCTTCTAACGATTTAATATTTTCAATTCTAATTTTTTAAATTAATAATTTAAATTTTATTTTAACGGATTTTAGTTTTTTTTCATGCCAGGGGTGTTTGTGATAATGTTTTGTTTTTTTTGTTTCTTTGTTTGTATATTTGGGTAAATATGTATAACTAGTTAGGTGTTTTGTGTATACAATAAATATTTTAAATAAATATATACATAAATACTTAACGAACTTAAATTAAATACTTTAAATAAATAACTAAAAACTAAATGTTGTGTAAATATGTAAAATATTTATTGTAACTATGTAATATATGTTGATGTAATTTAAGTTATGTTTACATGTGTATAAATAGATTAATTCTTAATATATGTTTGTTTATATATATGGGGAAGAGTGGGTGCTGTGTTCCATATGTTGTTGGAAAAAAATTAAGTTTAAATATTAAATAAAAATATTAAAAAAAAAAAAATAAATATTGTCCAGTATATCCTGTAAGGGTATGCACCTTGATTTACCCATGATTGGAGGTGGTACCTACTTGAATATGGTTTATATTTTTAAATGGGCGTAAAATATTTATATGGGTGTTTTATGGAAAAAAATTCTCATACTCTACATATGCAGGAGTTTTGAAAAATCTAATAAAAATTTAAATCAAAACAATTATATTTTTTATTTTTGTTTAACGACTTAAGCTATGCATTTTTGGAACTCTTTGTTTATTGTTGTTGGTGTTTGTTTATTTTTTCTTTTCTGGCACCTTAAGTTTAGTTTTTTTGTTGGTTGATATCATTTCGTGTTATATATGGTTTACACATATATGTATATATGATATATATTTTTATAAATAAATATTTTTTTAAGAGTATATATAGATTTTCAATTTCAATATAATAATTACTATAATGATATATGTTTATTTTTGTATTGGTTTAGATAAAAATTTATGAAAATCTGTTAAAATGGAGAATAGAAATCGTTTGCTTACCATATTGTTTTGTACGGACGGGTATGGGTGGGGTTGTTGCACCTTCGCCTCTTTGGGAACGAGCGGCCAGCCATATATAATATAGAGTATCAGGATACAAACCATCTAGCGTATACGATTCAGTGTTGGAAATACGCCTGGTGAGGAAAATGGGGAATTTAAAAAGAATTATTTAAAAAAATTAAATAAATTCTTTAAATAAAACCATAAAAATTATTTTGTAATTATTTATTTATTTAAAAAATAAATAAATTTTATAAATAAAATTATAAAAATTATTTTGTAAAATGTATTTGAATATGAATTATATTATATATTTATTAATTTATTTATTTGTTTTAAAATTATTCTTTTTCGTTTCTTTATATATTTGTGAAAAATATTTATATATATTTAAAAAAATTCTTATATATATTTCCGGGTTTTTAATGTTTAATCAAAGGTAACATAGGTAGAGGGGGCAAATTCCTACCTTTTCCACATTTTTTGAAATTTCCGAATTTGCAGAAAAGAATGCGAGGAATATTTTCCTGGAAAACTGTAACCCTCAAGCGAGTCACCAATGGGGTCTTTTTGGCTATTTTTCAAAATATGGCTTAAAACTCCATTTCAACGGGATAGTATCAAGACAAAATATTTTACAAAATTATTTGTCTATATTTTACATAAACATCAGGAATTCGTGTTTATTAAAAACACATATTAGGGTTGAGGCCCTACTTAATGTCAGCTAGTTGAAAAATCCCCTCCAAAGCTACATTTTAAAAGTTACTTCTTTCAATTTTCCTAAAAAAGAGGTGGTTGCTTATTCCGCTTTCTTTGGGCGTTTTGTTATTCAAAGTTTTGAACCCTTTGTGGCGGAGGTACAAGAAGCAATGGTGTGATCCCTTCCATCTTTATAACAGATTTTTCGTTGATGGAAATATTGAGATGTACCCAGTCTAAATGGAATCGAATTTTCGCGTTCGCGTTTTATGAGCACCATGGATATTCAAAATTTTGAGACTTTACGGGGGAGGTACCAGAAGGAGTGGATCGATATATTCCATCTTCGCAGCAAATCTTGTGTTAGTAGAAATAATCGGATGTGTGAATTATGAAGGGAACCGGATATTCAAAATTTTGACAATTTTTTTTTTTGGGGCGGGGGAAGTACGAGAAGGCGTGGACCTATAGATCCCATCTTCACACCAGACCTTGGGTTAATAAAAATATTGTGATGTGTTCAATCACATTTTATAACAGTTATAATTATTCAAAATTTTGACCCTTTGTTGGGGAGGTACTTGGTGGAGTGGACTGATATTTTTGCACCCGACCTGGAACTAATGTAAATATTAGGAAAGTTTGCGCAAAATTGGATCAACCTCTTTTCTTCGGTGCAGTGAAACATTTTCTATGAAAAATTATAATTTTTGAGGTGGAGTTACGAGAAGTAGTGGACCGATATTGCCCATCTCCGAACTTAATCTGAGTTTGGTAATAATATTACGATGTACCAAGTTTGGAGCAAATCGAATACTCCCTCCCCAGAGTTATCTTGCGCACCGACCAGGCAGACAGACAGAGGGACGGACGGACGGACATCGCTAGATCGATTCCAAATGCGCTGAAATGGATTTTATCCAAAGAGACCTAGGGTCTAAAAACGTCATTTCGATGAGTCACATTTTGATTGTATCAGGGTATACAAATGGTGGAAGGGAGAACTTGCCTTTTTTAATAGTTCTGGTGTATTCCTGTAATTATTTTTTGTGTAGTACAGTTTTATACAAAATAATTTTTTTTATTATTATTTCAGTTCATTATTTACCCCTTATTGCTATATTTCTTATTATTATTATTATTTATTATTATTATTATTTTAATAATTTATTAAATTTTTTATTATTTATTATTTTTTACTTTTATTTATTTCTTATTATCATTTTTATTTATCTATTTAATGTTTTCCTTCGTTATTTATATTGGTTACTATTGTCGTTTTAGATTGCCTCTCCCTCTCCCCCTCCCTCTCCCTCTCTCCCTTGACTCTCTTTGAGTAACAGGAATTTGTCGATGTATCCCCCCCATTATTAAATTTTTTCGAAACCATTTATTTATTTTAATCAAATTTCCGTCTATCAAATTGTTTTTTTTTTTTCAAATAATATTGAATACCAAGTTTTTTTTTTCAAAATTTTCCCCACGGTTATTATTTCTATATTCCCAAAGCACCATGAGAATGCCACAATTGCTCCCTCCTCATAGATGAATGAATGAATGGTGAATAGAGAGAGAGAGAGAGTAGGTGTATGCGAGAGAAACTTGTGGATGTTGTCTCTTGTGTGTTTTTTTCCTGCTTCGTCATAGGTTATTAAAGCCAATACTCACTTGTGATGATCCTGATTTGCATATGTGTCATTCCAGTACAATTCATAATGAACGATATTTTCACTGGAATGTGTCGGTTTTGACCATTGCAATGTAACTGCGGTCTCGCCGATATCGGTGGCCCGGAAATTGCTTGGCTGTGAGGGGACACCTGTAATGAAATAAAAAGGGCGAGAAGAAAAAAAACAGATATCATAAATAAATTTGCCGATATGAGAGGGAGAGAGAGAAAAAAATAACATATTTTTGTTGTGGTCGTTGTTGTAATACCAATCTATAAATGAATACAGGTGTGGTAAAAATCCCGGTCATGACGACGATGATGATGACGTTTGGTTGAGATGTTCACAATGAGATAAATCAAATATTGGCAATGTCAATAATGTTTCCTCCCCTTCTTTGGTTATATTTCATTATTATTGATTTATGTGATTGTGTGTATTTGTGTGTGCGGGTGTGTGTTCGTTGAAGGGGAACGCCAACGCACAAAAGTATGCAATAAATGATTGAACAAACAAAAAAAAGAGAAAAAATTGTATTAAAATAATAATAAATGATGACAATGTGTGATGGTTTGCGTAAAACCATCACTGACAGCCGCGGACGGCATCAGCAGTAACGGAAATTAAATAAATAAAATTTAGGGTAAGTGTACCAGTAGTCGGCACTTTTAGGATTTTCGCGTTTTTAATCGCTCACCATTCTGAGTGGAACTTTTCAATTATTGCAAAGTTAATTTATTCATATTCGAAATTTTGTATACTTTTTGCAATAATAAATAAAGTTTTAATAATTTTTTATTAAATTTCATAAATTTGTAGTTTTATTAAAACAATGCTTTTTTGCCAGTAGTCGGCACCACTTGCTAATTGTCGGTATGGCATGTTCCAACATTCGGCATACCAATTTTTTTGTAAGAATAATTAATAATAATAATAAATTATTTCATTAAAATATAATATTTTTGTTTAGTTAAACTGATTCGACGTCTTTATTGTACTTTTCTTAAGAATATGGATTGTTGAGGACCTTCACAGACAAAAATTTAATTTTTATTAGAATAAATCATATTTTCTTAGCGAAATTGTACACAAAGATAGCTGGCAATATATTTGAAGTAAACATAATACATTTAGTTATAATAGTTTCATTTATTTGGGCTTAAAAATAAAAAGTGCCGACTACTGGGACATGCCGAACTTAGGAACACTTACCCTATATCAGTTTTTGTTTTTTTTTTTTTTGTATTCTCTGGGCTACCTGATTTTAATAGAACAAAAAAAATAAATAAAAACATGAAAGGTGATAAATTATAAAAGGGTGGGAAGACAAATATTTAGTGTTTAGATACATCATGAAATTAAAAAAAATAGAGAATTGAAATTAAAATTGAAAAAATATTTATCAAAAACCAATGGTTTTAATCTAAGGGTTCTGGGCTTCAATTTTCGTTCCATGAAAATATGAAAATGTTATTTTCAGGTACCAGAAGAAAGTGTCCGACCCCTCCCATCTTTATAACAGATCTTATATTGTTCAAAATGTTAACCTTTTGTGGGGGAGGTACCAGAAGGAGTGGACCCATACATTTCATCTTCACAGCAGATCTTGTGTTAGTAAAAGTAATGGGATGTGTACAATTTGAAGAGAATCGGACGCTTATTTTGGATATTATGATCGTTTTGGTTATTCAAAATTTGGAACCCTTTGTGGGGGAGGTACCAGAGGTAGTGGACCGATACATTCCATCTTCACTGCAGATCTTGTATTAGTAAAAATAATGGGATGTGTGAAATATGAAGTGAACCGGATGCTTATTTTGGATTTTATGATCGTTTTGATTATTAAAAATTTTGTGTGGGAGGTACCAGAAGGAGTGCGCCGATATATTTCATTTTCGTAGCAGATTTTGTATAAGCAAAAATAATGGCATGTGTAAAATATGAAGAGAATCGGTTGTTTATTTCGGATTTTATGATGGTTTTGGTTATTCCAAATGTTGACCCTTGGTGGGGATAGTACCAGAAGGAGTGGATCGATATTTCCCATTTTCGAACTCGATCTAAGTTTGATAATAATATTACGATGTTTAACGTTAACGTGCGCAAATATCCTGAAACGGTTTTGGTCCAAACAGACCTAGAGTTAAATAAAATATTACATACCCTATCCAGTTATTATATGGCTAAGGGTATACAAAATGTATAATTTATTTATTTTTAATTTTATATTTTCATAGAACAAGAGTACAGTACTTGGACTAAAAATCATCATAAACATGAGTCCTTGATAATTTATTATTATAAAAAAATCCGAAATATTGGTTCAAAAAGTATTAAACAAATAAAAAAATAAAAAAAAAAAATATTTCCCAAAAAAAAAAAGAGAAGAAAGAAAAGAATTAAGCGCTTGGACTAAAAATTTAAAAAAAAAAATATTTCCCAAAAAAATGATAAATAAAAAAATTATAATAAAAAATATTTCCAAAAAAAATTGCGATTTTTTTTCAAAATTTGTATCCTTGACCAACCTCATATAACGAAACGATTTTTTCACATTTCAGTATAAAAAAATTAATCTCATATTTTCATAGAAGAATCCAGCGCTTGGACTAAAAATTTAATATTAGTATACAAAAAAAAAAAACTAATAATAAAATAATGAAAATTCCAAAAATTTCCAAATTTTTTTCACATTTCATAACTTTGTTTTCAAAACCAACCCCATCTACATTTCCCCCTTTACACACCCCAAAGGATGTGAGAAGCCAATTCAATTTCCATTTCAATATACAACATGCTGTTGTCTTTTTTTAACATATTTTTATTGCCTTGTTATGGCCATCCGAACTTGGACTCGCCCAGTGGCAGACAAAAGTCTTATTGTTCCAATATTATGGATATTATGATCGTTTTGGTTATTCAAAATTTGGAACCCTTTGTGGGGGAGGTACCAGAGGTAGTGGACCGATACATTCCATCTTCACTGCAGATCTTGTATTAGTAAAAATAATGGGATGTGTGAAATATGAAGAGAACCGGATGCTTATTTTGGATTTTATGATCGTTTTGATTATTAAAAATTTTGTGTGGGAGGTACCAGAAGGAGTGCGCCGATATATTTCATTTTCGTAGCAGATTTTGTATAAGCAAAAATAATGGCATGTGTAAAATATGAAGAGAATCGGATGTTTATTTCGGATTTTATGATGGTTTTGGTTATTCCAAATGTTGACCCTTGGTGGGGATTGTACCAGAAGGAGTGGATCGATATTTCCCATTTTCGAACTCGATCTAAGTTTGATAATAATATTACGATGTTTAACGTTAACGTGCGCAAATATCCTGAAACGGTTTTGGTCCAAACAGACCTAGAGTTAAATAAAATATTACATACCCTATCCAGTTATTATATGGCTAAGGGTATACAAAATGTATAATTTATTTATTTTTAATTTTATATTTTCATAGAACAAGAGTACAGTACTTGGACTAAAAATCATCATAAACATGAGTCCTTGATAATTTATTATTATAAAAAAATCCGAAATATTGGTTCAAAAAGTATTAAACAAATAAAAAAATAAAAAAAAAAATATTTCCCAAAAAAAAAAAAGAGAAGAAAGAAAAGAATTAAGCGCTTGGACTAAAAATTTAAAAAAAAAAATATTTCCCAAAAAAATGATAAATAAAAAAATTATAATAAAAAATATTTCCAAAAAAAATTGCGATTTTTTTTTCAAAATTTGTATCCTTGACCAACCTCATATAACGAAACGATTTTTTCACATTTCAGTATAAAAAAATTAATCTCATATTTTCATAGAAGAATCCAGCGCTTGGACTAAAAATTTAATATTAGTATACAAAAAAAAAAAAAAAAAAACTTATAATAAAATAATGAAAATTCCAAAAATTTCCAAATTTTTATCACATTTCATAACTTTGTTTTCAAAACCAACCCCATCTACATTTCCCCCTTTACACACCCCAAAGGATGTGAGAAGCCAATTCAATTTCCATTTCAATATACAACATGCTGTTGTCTTTTTTTAACATATTTTGATTGCCTTGTTATGGCCATCCGAACTTGGACTCGCCCAGTGGCAGACAAAAGTCTTATTGTTCCAATATTTATGTGTGAGTGTGTGTGTGCGAATGCTGAAAAACTTTAAATTAGTTTTGCCTGCAAAGTCGTCGCTGTTGTTGTTGTTGTTGATGTTGTATTTCTTTATTCTTTTATGATTTCCTACGGCCACAAGTACTTTCCCTGGTTCTTTATTCAAAAAATGCTGAAAGAAAGAAATACAAAAAATATTTAACAACGTTCCATTGTCACGCAGCAGTTCTCCAAAGAAATCGAAACTTGACCCTATTTCCGTAGTTTTCTCGTTCTTCTTGTTGTTATATAAAAAAGGCAAAACAAAAAGCGTATTTTCTCAATTTCCCTTTGAAATTGTTTTTCATTGTCATGTAAAAAAAAAACGATTTTTACAAATGAAATAAATTGATTTTTCTGCTTTGTTGATGAAACAACAAATAACTGCAGATAAGTGTTTGAGAACACAAATAAAGGATTTTTTTTTCAAAAATGGCATTTCCAAAATCAATAGTCGTGGGCAACATGACAATTTTCTTACCGCTGGTTGTTAAAATGAAATAAGAGCAATATTTGACTTCAAATATTTATTAAAATAAATATCTTGAACTTTTTTCACAGAAAAAAAAAAAAAATAAATTAAATTTTTTATTCCAAAAATTTTCAATGAACCAAAAAACCGAGAATTTTATAATTTTTTTTGACAAATAGCTATGAATTTGTACAACATATATTTTTGGGCATGAACTTAAAATAATGTTTTTTATAAATTTTTGTTTAAATAAATTGAGGATTTTTTTTATATATTTTCTTTCATGACCAACCTCATATAACGTAAATATTTTTAATTTTATATTTTCAAAGAAGGAGAATCCAGCGCTTGGACTAAAAATTTGAAAATTGTAAACATGGGTCCTTGATAAGATATTCATAAAAATTTCTAAAATATTGGTATAAAAACTAATAAAATAAAAATAATTTTTCCAAATTTCAAAAAAAAAAAAAAAATAAATAATAATAATAATAATAATAAAAATATTTTACTAAACAGAA